AAATTTCGAAATACTTCACAAGCCGTTTCAGCTGAGGACTCTCGGTCTATTTTTCAATTCACAGATGATGCTGAGTGCATGATATGTTGTGTGTTTGCTTTTCAGATGTTAGATCTGGATTGAGCTGATGTGCGCTCACGATGGATAGTCATATGAAAGTCACTGGCTAAAAGTACATGATCACTTTTACTGAGAGGTGACATATAATTGAGGCTCGCATGGTCATTCTCATAGTGAGTCAATATAAGATCTAGTAAAAGTGATTCAGAGTCCGAGTCGTACCTAGTCGCTTGTTTCATATTTTGCACTAGGGCACGTGTGGTAACTGCATCAACTAGTCCCTGCTCGAAGGAATTATCTGAAGATTCAGTTCTTAGATTTTCCAAGTCTACCATAGGTCTATTAAAGTCCACTTGGATTAGGCATCGACCACTTTGTGTTAACCATGTTTCGGTGACTGCGATTATGTCTGGCTTTGTAGAGTCAATCTGTACACCTAGTTCCGATCGCTTATTGAGCAAGCTTCGGGCATTAGTGTAACAGATCCGAAGCCCTTTTAAATGGCTTCGTGCTTCATCCATGGTGGCTTAGTCATCATTCTCTGCATATACCTCACAACCCGAAAATTTGCACGTTGTAGGTCGATTTCGCAAGCGTCCAACCTAAGTTGTAGTTTATTTTCGGCCTGTCGTCTTTCTACACGGTTTGCTAGCGGCGAGTCCTTACGGACAAAAGCTCCCGAACCCTTTAATTTATGCTCGATCTGTAAAACTACTCGCTTCCATTAGGAGATTTGAATACCACTTTTGGCAGTCTGGATTGATTGGACTTCAAGTTCGCTATACTACCTAGTCTATAAACGTTTAGCAAGGATATTTCTAGGCATAAGTTGATTAAGCAGTTGTTTTATCAGCACAACTGCATGCTCAAAAAGAGTTTTCCGTTCAGAGTTTTCACTCTCCTTGATTCTTTGAAAAGTAACTGACCTGTCGCTGTGATCAGTCTTCAATTTCTCGGCTACTTTAATGGGGGCAGGATTCCATTTTACATCGTTATGTCGTTTCTTGTTACAACCTGTATTCATTCGTCAACGTTGGTTGAAGTAGCAACCAGTCAGTCAGTCACAACGTAGAACTTCGTACGTACGTACATCAGTTCGAGTTGCCATACCACATTAGCACAGAGATGCAGTTGTCGATTCAAATCCCATAGTGGTAGAAGTAGTAGGAGTATAATCAGAAATCTAAAAGATTAGGGCTTGAAGAAATTATTGAAGGAGTATAGTACAGTGAAATAAATTTGAAAAGAGAAAAAGATAAAGACATGAGGAATTCAGAAGTTTAGAATTTGGTAGAACATAAATAGTGGATGCATCTTCGCCATTGCAAACGATTTTCGGTCATGTCATTCAAGGTCTCTAACCATCGGTTGCTATCATCTCGTGAATCCCAACCAGGCAGTCTACACCTACCAACATGACCCAGTCCACTTGTCAGTGACTTCACGGATTTATGCCATGTTTTGGTCTGGCCGTCCCTAGCTTTCTTCCAACTTACTCCTACACCATAAAGCATTGCACGTCGGGTCAGTCGGCGGTCGGGAATACGTAACACATCTCCCAGCCATCCCAACTGGTGAAGTGGTCGACACGCTCAACTACTTCACTCCCTATCATTAGTTCAGTTGTCGCTGCAACCCAATCCTGAAGTAACATTTTGCACTTCAAGGGAGAGAATCGCATCCCGAACATGCCTGCATTGTTGCTTCTAGTGGTCAGAAGACTCTGCATTTTGTCAGAGTCTTCACCGAATAAAACTATGTCGTCAGCGTATTCTAAGTCAACAAGTGAATCTCCCGGTAAAAGTTCAACTCCAGGAGATTGAGATGATGAAAGTGATATCTCTAAAAGCATGTCAACGACAAAGTTAAACAAGAATGGGGATAGTGGACTGCCCTGACGAACACCACTTGATGTAACCAATTCTGATGACAGTTCGCCATAGGCTCTAACTCGACCAGTTGTGTTCGAGTAGAGAGCCTTTATGAGGTTAATGTACTTCTTTGGTACTCCTTTCAGTGACAAACACTGCCATAGATCCTCGCAATCAACGGAGTCAAATGTCGCCTTAAGGTCAAGAAATACTACGATTGTGGGACGTCTGAATGTGTGTCTATGTTCTAGGACCTGACGTAGAGTGAATATCTGGTCTATGCAACCACGTCCAGGTCGGAAACCAGCCTGGTTTTCTCTAGTCTGCTCTTCACGAGCTTTGGTTAGGCGACCTAGTATTATTGAAGCTAATATTTTAGACACTATATTAGTCAAACTGATCCCTCTGTGATTGTCACAGGAGGACTTTTGTCCTTTCTTATGGACTGGCACAATCAGTGATTGGGACTAGTCAGATGGAATTACGTCCAGTTCCCAGATTCTACCTAAGATCTCAGTCAATCTCACTGCTAGTACTGGACCACCATCCTTAAAAATCTCAGGGGTAAACTTGTCAGGGTCTGCGGCACTCTCTCGCTTCAGATTTCCTATAGCTTTTTCAACCTCGTAGAGAGTTGGAAGACTTACCTCGATTTGCCATTCAGGACGACTGGGGATCGTGGGTAACTGAAGTGTGGCTGAAGGCCAGTTGAACTGATCCCTAAAGTGTTCTGCCCATCGATCCAATCTCCTGGATTGAGAATGAACGATATGTCCGTCTTTGTCTGAGATAGTTTCGCTAATAGTTGGGTTCCTAATGCCGGTTTCTTTAATAAGTCTGAACAGCTGTCTGCTGTTACCTATTGCCGCTGCCTTTTCCATCTCTCTTGCTTTCGCTACCCACCACTGTTCACGATCATTATGTAGGCTTCCTATTAGCCTTCGCTTAAGCTGACTCCGCCCTTCGTTATGTTCAGAGCCAGGAGAAATGGGTTTTCGAGCATCTATCAGTGTTGTAGAGGCTGTTGAGATCCATTGTTTCTCCCTAACCTTATGGTTTACCTTACTAGCGGATTTCACTGCTGTTTCCACAGCTTTTCGGATGTCACTCCACGCTGCTTCAGGTTGGACACAACTTACGTGTCTGTCTAACTGTTTTTTCAGTTGTTCCTGAAATATATTCTTAGTTTGCTTATCATTAAGTAGAACCCTTAGAGGCTTCCCTGAAGTGTCTTTCCTACGTCCAGTAAGACGCAGACAGATACGTACTCGCATTAGAACATGATCTGAGTCTAAACATGTGCCCCAGAATGATCGACAGTCTTCTATCGAGCCCCTCCATCGGTGGCTGATAGTGATGTGATCTAATTTGGTCCAACGTTGGGACGAATTCGGGGGTCGCCATGTCAAAAGATGTTTTTCCTTATGCTTAAAGTTAGTATTTGCAAGAAATAGGCGGTTATCTGAGCACAGCTGCAACAGACGGTCACCATTATCTGTCCTTTTAGCCACGACACCATAAGGTCCTCCCAGGTGTCTTTCCCTTTCACTTAGTTTACCTACTTGAGCATTAAAGTCACCTGCTACTATTACTAAATCAGAACGCCTAGCTTTTCGGAGAAGGTCAGAAAGTTTCCTGTAAAACTCATCTTTTATATCGTTTGAGCTACAGTCAGTGGGAGAGTAGGCAGAGATGATGAGGAGACAACGACGAGTTTCCCTATCTTTCCGAGTCCTTACTGATCCGTTTAGTCGGACAGCGCATAGACGACTGTCTACTGGGATCCAGTCTAAAAGAGCTAGTTCTGCCCTAGGACTTAATGCTATACCTACTCCAGCGAGGCCACGGGAAGCAGCACCAGGGTTTCCAGATACACGAAGCGTGTATCGAGATGGTTTTTTAGCTTGATTAGGTGAGGTCAAATGAATGACGCTACTCGGATCTTGTATGTGCGTTTTGGAGACGCAGCATACATCGATGGTGTAAGATTCTAGAGTAGCAACCACACTCGCGTCAAGTACATTATGGAACCTTGAAGGGTTGTCGACGACTTGAAAAATCAGGTTATGTCTCCCTCTAGAAACCGAACAAGCATTGTGATTGTGGCTTCTAGACGTTTCCTGCTGGATACCATTTAGAAGACAGGGGGTAAAAGAAACTTCTTTTCTTGAGCTTTTAGTTATGAAAGACCTCTCTGGGGACTGTCCTTCCTCCTTTGGCCGATGTGAGTTGGCAGTTCTTGAACTCGCCTGAGTTTGCTTCACACCGATTCGCGTGTCGACAGATTGAGTGCTGTCTGATGTGTCCCAACCACCCTTGCCAAAACACTTTTGCAGCAGCATTTACCGTTGAGACGGCCTCGGCTTGCAAGCTGTTTGTATCCGAACAGCACTTTTGACAAAGCAACCGTTTTTATTGAACCACTTAGAAGCCACAGGCGTTAAATTTGTGGTACCAGCCTTTGCAATAATCGTACTGCATGCTTCTGTCAACGGGATACTGACTTTCCGGATGATGGCATCTCCTTTTTTGCACTGTCCAGTCATCAAACAGGGGTCCTTTTTTAAAAAAAGAACTAGAGACAATAATACTCAGAAGCAAAAATGATTTATGACCAAAAATGTGGAAAGTTGTAAACTGTTAGGACCAAAAGTACTAACAGATACAATAGAAAACATAGTACGCAAAAGTTAGGACGATCAACTACTTTAGTAACAGAAAAGATACTCTAATCGAATACTTCAACCGAAATAAATTCAATTAAAGTGTAAACAGTAATGATGATACGCAATAATTATTACGTTTAAACGATCAAAACAATATAATTTACTCGGCGAGGAAAGATATCACTGTGATTCAATCTTACTAGATATGGAACTCCTTTAAGCAAAAGCTTCTTCTTTTCAATTCAGAACCATTTTGAACCGTTTCTGAATATCACCGGGATATAGCCTACAAACACGCAACCGATGCCCTTCAGATATGAAGTGACCGCCTTGATGCACGCCGATCAAGGTCGCTCAAGCGTAAAGGCGGTGGTTCCAATTACAGGCTACCGTCTGGTTTGAGATGCATGATTGTAGTTCTGTGTTCCTTATCCCAGGTACCTTCACTCATAGATATTATATTTGTTCGTAGAAAGTGCTATCCGTCAGCCTTCAAAGTGTTCTTTAGTTAAACTAAAACATCCAAGATCAGGTAGATTGTCGTTTCTTTGGATAGACTTGGGTGTCGAAACCTTTTTAGATGTACCATGTTTGTATATGTGGGATAGTCAGTCTTTGGAGCTTTTTGAAATTCAAAAAGTGGACGAAAAATGTCGTTCCTGGATGCTTGGTGAAAATGTCAAATCTGGTATATATATTTACATATTTGTCTTATGAAGATATTTAGATGGTGGAATGTATGTTTGTAGTCGAATTGACCCTCTCTTCTTCTTCATATCATTCTGCAGAAAAAATGTTTGTCTCTCAACCTTAAAGAATTACATTTCTAGAACAAGTTTATTTCATGGGATGTCATTTTGAGTGAAATTGATGGATGTTTTGATGTCTTCAGCAACATTCCCAACATGGAAAGTCGTCTTGAAGAAATTTGTGAGAAAAAGTGTAAGTCTTTACTCCAACCATGGATCACGGTTATCTTTTAAAAGTTGTTCTTCATAACATTTACTAGATGCAGTTACTTTACAAGTTTTTTTGCGTACCATAATCAGATCACCTTTTAATATTTTTATCCCTGTACTATTTGCAGATATGTTTGATACCAGTCTGTTCACTATGCACTAGTCTCGTAAGATGTCGTAGGATTTCGGTTCTAAATCTAAACAATCTGTTATAAAAAATCCTTGTATTCATCGTGTTAGTTGGTGTATCTTGTCAAAACCTGTCTTTGTGAACATGTATACAAATCCTAAATTTTAGTGGGTTTTATTCATCCCGTCTTGTGTCATTTATGTTTTATGTACTTCTGCTTCCGGTATTTTTGTGTGTAGCCAACTTTCGTCTACTTAATTTTTGTTTACAGTACTCGTAATTAAGTAGTAGTTTTTCCTCACATTCTTATTGAGAGTGATAATAACGGACTGATAGCGACATTATTTGCATAGTAAACGATTACAAATACAGGTGCCAAAGTTTTATTTACGCTTATTTAAGTGTTAGTTATACTACTTACTTACGCCTGTTACTCCCAATGGAGCATAGACCGCCGACAAGCTTTCTCCAACCCACTCTGTCCTGGGCTTCCTTTTCTAGTTCTATCCAGTTCTTGTTCATTCTTCTCATGTCTGTCTCAATTTCTCGGCGTAATGTGTTCTTTGGTCTTCCTCTTCTCCTTTGACCTTCAGGATTCCATGTGAGGGCTTGTCTTGTGACGCAATTAGGTGATTTCCTCAAGGTGTGCCCAATCCACTTCCAGCGCTTCTTCCTGATTTCTTCCTCTGCTGGAATCTGGTTTGTTGTCTCCCACAGTGACTTGTTGCTGATAGTGTCTGGCCATCGGACCCGAAGTATCTTGCGTGGACAGCTGTTAATAAACACTTATATCTTCTGGATAATGGCTTTCATAGTTCTCCACGTCTCCGCCCCACACAGTAGAACTGTCTTGACATTTGTATTGAAAATTCTAACCTTGGTGTTGGTTGACAATTGTTTTGAGCTCCACATGTTTTTCAGTTGTAGGTATGCTGCTCTTGCTTTGCCGATCCTCGCCCTCACATCTGCATCTGATCCACCGTGATTATCAATGATGCTGCCCAGATATGTAAAGGCTTTCACATCCTCCAAAGCTTCTCCGCCTGTAGCTCCTCTGGGGGTTACTACCGGTCCCAAGCCTGGTAAAGGAGGAGGGTTGGGCATGGGGTTAGCGACCCCATCCCGTAGAAAATCAACTCGCTAAAAAACGCTAACCATTATATCTGGTTATAATAGAATATGTCAACCGTTTCTTTTGCTTATTTTTATCAATCAACGATATGTTGTGGAAATGTAGTATCTATAATTCAAAATCTCTGGTTCTTGGAAGTTCGAAAACAAGACGTATAACTGAGAAATAGTAAAGGGTTAAAGTTTATCGCATTTTTTTGCTGAGATTTGCGTCGCATTTAATCGTTAGTCTGTAAATCAGTTGCGTTTATTGCAAACTGAAGCGTATTTGTAAAGTAAACTCGGAAAACTCTTTTAGTTCACAAAATACAAACTATAAATCTGTATTGACAATACTTATGTATCCTGATCATTTGTTTTTCGAAGGTGTCGGCAGCATATCTGTTTATCGGTTTAATGAATCTAAGACGATGGAGTGGTTGTCGAATAGAGTATCTGCTGTTTATAAAGCTTCTTTCCACTGCAAGAATCCCGTTTTGATTTCTCAACTTCAATTAGTTGCTACTAGTTCGTCTTCTGATGAAAAAAGTGAAGATTCAAGGGTTCCTGAATTTACTTCTAGTAAGATTTTTTCGAAATTTTTGTTGTTTTATCCACATACAATTTTTTATTTTCGACTGTTTAACTATGGTTTGAAGGTCCATTTAATTTTTTTTCTCACAAACTCCTTTCCTGACATCCGATAGCAAAATTGAACCTCACTCAGTGAATTTTATCCCTAAACGAGCTTACCTAAACCCAGACATTATTTAACTCAAACGATTTACTTCGTCATATAGCCAATTAGTGTCTTTCACTGGTTTAGGAAACCTAGTTATTTATTATTTATTTATTTAAACACATATATATTGGTACAAAAGGGCACCAGGTACATATGCGCCACACAAAATAATGAAAGTAGGAAGAGAAGGGATGAAAAGATAAGGCGGGCTGAAATGTACAACCCTTTGCAGCTTTCTTTCATGCCACGACACCATGTCATACACTGACCTCCTCTCCGCTTTTTCCAACCAGTCCCAGGGTCGGCAAATAATGCACGACGTGGAAGTCTCTGGGACGACATTCATAAAACATGTCCAAACCACCGAAGTCGGTGTTTCAAGATGGTGGCACCAATTGAATTATCGTCTCTGTGCCCGAACACACGATGCCGAACCTCTGCATTACTAACACGGTGTTGCCACTGGATGTCAGCAATCCTTCGGAGACAACGATAATCGAACACAGAGAGACGTCTAACATCCTCAACTCGGAGAGGCCAGGTTTCACAAGCATAGAGCAAAACTGCTCTCACCGACGCGTTGTAGATCCGACCTTTTACAGCCAGACTAACATCACGAAGGCGCCAAAGATAGCCCAGATTGGCATAAGCCGCTCTGGCTTTCATTATACATGCACCAATCTCATCACTCACGCCACCACCAGCACTTATATAGCTACCTAGATACACGAACTTCTCAACTACTTCGATCTCCTCACCATCCAGGGTGAGTACAGGATTAGAATCCTGCCAGTCTTGTAGGAGTACTTTGCACTTGGAGGGTGCAAAGCACATGCCGTACCCGCAGACACTGATCGCCATCTGATTAAGTGCGGATTGCATGCCTTGGGCATTATCGCACAGTAAGACAATATCATCCGCATACTCAAGGTCGAGAAGTCGTTCTCCAGGCAACATATCCACACCGCCATTACTTACATCCACCAGAGCTGTTTCCAGGATGTCGTCGATGGCAAGGTTGAAGAGGAATGGTGAGATCGGGCAACCCTGCCCAACCTCACTGCTCGAATGGAACAAGGGAGAAAGGTGGTTGTATGCCCTCACTCTGCCTGAGGTGTTCGTATACAGGGCCTTTAAGATGTTAATGAACTTCTCAGGCACACCCTTCTTCAATAGACAATCCCAGAGAACAGTTCTGTTCAACGAATCGAAGGCCGCCCTGATATCAAGAAACACCACGATTGTTGACCTGTGATAAGTATGACGGTGTTCTAACATTTGGCGGAGGGTGAAGATGTGATCAATGCATCCTCGACCAGAACGAAAACCAGCCTGCTCCTCGCGAGTCAATCGTTCTCGGGTTTTAAACAACCTACGAAGAATGATAGAAGCCAATAGTTTGGACGCAATCGAAAGTAGACTTATCCCCCGATAGTTATTACAGGAACAACGTGAACCCTTTTTAAAAATAGGGACGACTATTGACTCATTCCATGATGTTGGAACACTTTCTTGCTCCCAAACATTTCCAAACAACACAGTCAATTCCTTAGTCAGAAAGTCACCACCATCTTTAAAAAGAGCCGGAGGTAAGTCATCTGGGCCAGGTGATTTGTAACGTTTCAAGAGTTGGAGTTCCTTGCGGACTTCCGCCTCGTTTGGTGGATCAGTCGTCACCGGCCATGGGGGGCAGGACAAGCTGGTTGAAACCAAGTTGCTTAAAGTATACGTGATACTAATTAACAATCTTAGGATGTCTCAGCGCGTTGTTAAAGGGCTGTTTTCTGTATATAATTTAGTGATTTTGGCAGTTGTGTTTCACATCACCAACCCTTGCATTTCTCAATTTCATGTCTGCTTGTAACTGGTCTAACAAGTCAGTTTTGAAACTCTTTATCTAAAAGTATAACTCTCAAGTTCATTGACGAACTTAGGGTAGGTTGAAGATAAAGATTTCTTATGCATGAATATTTTGGTGGATTGTTTTCCTACCATGGTTGGTTTAATCGTGAACCTTTCATTTTCCTTCTAAATACTATCAGCACAAGCTCCAGATAAGAGTGAGCTATCGGAATTTCTCCATGAGTCACTAATAGGTTGTTCTGTCAAACTAATAAACAGAAAATGAAAGCTTCACAACACATTGAAAGTATACAATTATATTCCTTAGCTATTCCGAACCTACTATACACAAAGTTAATCAATATCGCTCGATCCTTAGTTTTCTTATAGATTATACTCTGGAAACAACCAAGTGTTTATTTTTAGTGTAAGTACGTTAAATAGAGAAAGACATATCATCCAAGAGTATGTAGATAATATTGTCTTAATATGCTATGACATGTAGGCTACTTGAATTAGACCAATGGTATGTACTTCGAATTATCGAAATAAACAGTACTTCTGCAAGACTGGCAAGAATTTTATGCAACACAAATATAGCCGATTATAGAAGTATTCATATTCTTTATATTTCACACAACCCTTCAATACAGATTTTACACACTATCATAGTATACTCGATACTAGCGACTTTCCTTAGGGACCTTAATCTGTCAGTGTTGAATGCGAATGTAAGTTTATCTGGCTTCTGTTTTCTTGACATAAGTTAACTCCGCTTACTTCTTAGATTAATCTCATCGTGTAATTAGTTAAAAGTCTGATACAAAATGTTTTGGAAATGAATGTATTTCAGATGCACTGTAACTAGTAAACCATACTCGTGTTGTCTAAAAGGTGCTGAAAGTGTGTTAAATTGTGTACTGTATGGATTGATGTGGCGACCAATAGTTATAGTGAATGGAATAATGTAATAATTGCTCGTTGTTTGTGTTGACCGATTTGGCAATAAACCGTTAAGTGAATTATTAAGTCAGTTTATATAGTTCATATATTTAATACAATAGATAGATGAGCCAACATACTGACAGTTAAGCATATATATTTATTTATTTAAACACATAAATATTAGTACAAGGAAGCACCATATACATATGCGCCACACAAATCTCATTCGATTTGTGTGAGGGCCGTGATACTTCCCAGGTGCTCAAACTGAAGCGGGTGGTTTTCTTAGGGGACCGCACCTGGAGCCTTTGATCTAAAGGTCTGATCCACAAGGCAGTGGAGCATCGTAAGGAGATGCAGTATCATGGTAGCCGGTGACCAACGATTGATTCATACACCATTTGTCCCCTCAGGATACTCAAGCCAGGCCATGTGCATCATTGGTTTGGAATAAGGGTTTTCCAACTCCCCTAGGTGAACTTTCCGTGTACACCAACAGGGTTAGAGCTCCTGAAATTAGCTTTTTGTCCTCTCAATTTTGTAAACAACACCCGTGATGAAAGAAGGCAGTGAGTGTGACTTCCGTGGCAGAGGCTATATACTCGTAGCCATGTGAAAGCATTTGGAGAGGGAGAGCGGACTCTCCCAACTCTCAACCGTACCAGGGCATTTGGGGGCTTACACAAAGTACATATATGTATTTCTTTCTTTGTTACCACAATAAGTTACTTATGGCATTAAAATATAGTTACCACTATACTTCATCATTGTGTTTTATATTCCATAAATAGACTCCAAGGAAGCCCAAATGTTATCAACCAATCAATTGTCACACCAAACATGTTTAAATTTAGCTTACCAGTTAGTAGCTGACTATCTTACTCCAGACTTATTAATCAAGCTCCAAGAAAAAATAGGATTAAAAACTATTGAAGTCAATTTACCAGATATGAATTCCTCTGCAATTACCTCTGAAAATATAGATCCTGTTGAGAAATCTTCACGGAAGTCATTTGATGTAAGTTGATTTTATAAACAATTATTTCCTTTTCACTAGGCTGTGAAATCTAACTCAAGATCCACATGTAGCTTGCCCTCAACAATATCACAGCATTACTTTCAAATTCAATGGATAAATACATGAATGACTAGTCACTTTGTTTAAGAGAAGTACATTTTTCACAATTGATTGATCACTGGGTGGTGATCAATGTCATGCGTGTCAAGTCCTTCTTAATGCTGATCGAATGCTATCGATCAAGTTGCAATGTGGCCACTCGTCTAGGTCGCTCGACACTGCGTGCACTATATTATTGTGATAAGATGGTGGTTGGAGGTGGTCAACAGGAAACCCTAGATCCAGGTTTCGTGCTATTTGGCACTCGTCAGTAAGGTGTACCTGTAATCTTGAGAGAACTGGTGCTCCCTGACGAATTCTATCCCGTGTCACTCAGCTTCACAGTCAGAGACGTTACTACTGAGCTATTCGGGCCTTTTTTTTATAATTTCACCCTTTTTCATTTGAACTACTTAAACTGCATATCTGACGTGGGACCTCAATAAAATTTTGTAATGACGATTGTTGAACTTAGCAACATGATTATTGTTCATAACCGACCGACTAAGTGCTCAATAGTTCAATAACCCAAATCTCAATCGCATTTATTAGTCCGAATCGTTCTGCAATTCATTGTGGATGGCCTACAATCGATATTAAAATAAGAACGAATGATCACTTTGTGAGGTAGTGCATACGGATAAATTAAGGTAACTAAGCATGGCAAGTAATCCTTTAACCTGACGATATTTTTGTCCCCCACATAATGATAATCAACACTCACAATGGCATTTCCATTTTGCAGCTAGTTTTGATGAATCAATGTAAGTTAATAATTATGTCGAACAGTAAACATTACTGTACATCCGTTACATTCTTATCCAAGAACCATACTTTTATGACTAAATATCCAGAGTCTTTGGTTGTCATAAAACAGTGGTTAAAGTACTTTGTAACGTACCTATTTTTTGTGGTATTAATACCATCACATTGGGTCATGACCTAGTTGACATTTTTTCAAACTATCGTTCAACTGAAATGATTAATGAAATTAAATCATTCAGTTAGTCAGTCACAGCGTAGAACTTCGTACGTACGTACATCAGTTCGAGGTGCCATGCCACATCAGAATAGAGATACAGTTGTCGATTTAAATCCCATGGTGATAGAATTAGTAAGAGTATAACCAGTAATCGGAAAGATTAGGGTTTGAAGATGTTATTGAAGGAGTATAATCCAATTAAATAAATTTGGAAAGGATAGTGACATGAGGATTTCAGAAGATTATAATTTGGTAGAACACAAAGAGTGGATGCACCTTCGCCATTGCAAACGATTTTGAGCCATGTCATTCAAGGTCTCTAACTATCGGTTGCTATCATCTCGCGGATCCCAACCAGGCAGTCTACACCTACCGACATGGATGAGTTCACTTGTCAGTGACTTCATGGATTTGTACCACGTTTTGGTCTGGCTAACCCTAGCTTTCTTCCAACCTACTCTTACACCATAATTTTTTTCAATGATTAAATTATTTATTGACTCTTACTTTCCTGTTTAACTCACTAAGTAATTGTTTGATTAACTTTGTGTTTTGATATTTACATAAGTCGGAAAATTGTCAACCTAAGGAAGACTATTCTTCAGCATTAAAGCTAAATGAACCAAAGATCAATGAGGTATGTTGTTCTTTATAAATCTCATTCTGTTTCCGTTTTTTCTTTGACATGGAAGATGCTACTGTTACGATTAGAGAGCCATAAAATTACTAAGGGTAGGAGAACGATTTACCACAATTCATATCAATTGTAAGCAAAGACGGATGGTGGCTAGCAGTGAAATCCAGTTTGACGCGCGTTTCGTCCTATTTGGGACTCGATAGCTGGATGTACCTGCATCTCAGAGTTGATGTTCACTCCGGGACTCGAACCCAGTACCTTTCGCTTCAAACGCCATCGCGTTATACACCACTAGATACCACTACTAGCCACTATCCATCTTTGCTTACAATGCTTGTGAATTAAGGCTATATCGAGGCAATACGCACAGTATGCACATATGCCAATTAGAGATTGACTAGTTGCAGTCCTACAAACATCAATGGTAAGATTCAAACAAAAAATACTAAATGAATAGTAAAGAAATGTTTATAGATAGAAAGATTAAATGAATATAATCGTACTGAGATCAGTGAAAACAAAGTGCAAAAGCATATTATTTTATTATTTATTTATTTAAGCACATTAGTACAATAGGGCACCAAATATATATGCGCCACACCGTTATTTGATTTTTGTAAAGGCTGGATTACTGCCCTGACGCCAAAACCGTAGCAGGTGGTTTACTTAAGGGGTCACTCCCCGAGCTTTCGACATAGAGGTCTAATCCACAAGGCAGTGGAGCATCGTGAGGAGATGCAGTCTCATAGTAGCCGTTGACCAACAATTGGTTTATACGCCATTTTTTCCCTCAGGATAGTGCAGCCAGGCCATGTGCACCATCGGTTTGGAATCAGGGTTTTCCAACTCTCCCAGGTGAATTTTCCGTGTCCACCAACCCGGTTAGAGCTTCGAACATTCGATGTTCTTCCTCAATTTCTTAAACAACTCACCCGGTACGAGAAGACAGTAAGTAGAACTTCCCAGAAAGTGGCTATATACGCCTGGCAATGTGGGAGCATTTCATGAAGGAGAGCAGACTTTCCTCACCTTCGGCTGAATCAGGGCATATACAGTACTATACATGCGAATAAGTCTGATAAATGTTTGCACAAATACTAATCAGTCAAACTTGTTCTCCCTCATATTATTCAAATAAGCTTACTGAATTAATGAATTTCTACCTTACATTGATGCTTTTTAACACTTCCCAATAGGATGTAAATTAACAATCAATTATTTATGGATGATTGATAACAGTTCTAGCCCCCAAATGCCCTGGTACGGCCGAGAGTGGGGGGAGTCCGCTCTCCCTCTCGAAATGCTCTCACATGGCCAGCGAATATATAGCCTCTGCCAGGGAAGTCCTACTCACTGCCTTCTCGTGGCGGGGGTGTTGTTCACGAAAGTGAGAGGACGAAAAGCGAATGTCCGACGCTTTACCCGGGTTGGTGGACAAGGCGAGTCGGCGAGACTAAAGAACATGGACGACCTTTGAACGAATCTTAAATGACCTTGAGAAATATTGGCCAATCAGAAGACAGTTAGCATACAATAAAAATATATTATACAAAACTCAAAAATTAAAGGAGATACTGTTCTTTTACATGTATCAAAAACTTATCAAGGTCAGATATAGGTTCAGAAGTTCTAAAATCATAGTGCATCCGGCACAGGAACTCATCCCTGAGGCTCCATATTAGTCGACATCTGGAACCATGATAAAGTCCCGAAAATTCTTTCAGCCTCAACCACATAGTTTCAGTGTTGTCGGTATGTTGTTATGGTTTAGGGTTTAGGATTAGGGTTAAGGTTTAGGGTTAAAGATGAGACTATAAATAATGGACGACATTTGAGCGACGCTAGAGTGAATCTGAGAGTGTCAACATAATAACTAAGACTAAATGAGGGTTATAAACCCGTGTGAAGAATTCAAATTATGATTTACAGTTCATGGTTAAGGTTATGAATTTTACTTAGGGTTTTCATCACGAACTGACATCAGCTATAATGCCACAACTCAATCCAAATATATAATTGAATTTTGCGCCAAAACCTAATGGTAACATATCTTGTAGTCGCTTAATTATCATGTTTTCTCTAAAATCCTTTGTAAACTGACCGTACGTAAGCGTCAGGTACCGAACTTAGCGCTGTGACCTTGAAAACCCGCGAAAGCTTCTGATTGGCTCGTCCATGTTCTTTAGTCTCGCCGGCGAGTCCACCTAGGGGAGTTGGAAAACCCTCATTCCAAACCAATGGTGAACATGGGCTCCAGTATCCTGAAGGAACAAATGGCGTATGAATCAATCGTTGATCACCGGCTACCATGGGACTGCATCTCCTCACGATACTCCACTACCTTGTTGATCAGACCCTTAGGTTGCAGGCTCCGAGTGTGGCCCTCTAAGAAAACCACCTGTTCCAGTTTAGGCACCTGGGCAGTATCGTAGCCTTCACACAAATCGAATGAGATTTGTGTGGTGCATATGTATATGGTGCTTCCTTGTACCAATATTTATGTGTTTAAATAATATATATTTATTTATGTAGCTAAGATCAATTTGTCATTAATACTAGGCAAATTCCACATTATCATCATGTGCTCATAAGTGACCAACTTGAAAATGCAAGTAGAGTTCTAGTGGAAAGCTGTGATTGGTAGAGTTTAACTGTCTCATATATGAGACAGTTATTTATCATAGGCAAAGGAAGATGGTCTTGCAATATCATGAATCGACTATGTTATATCTGAAGCGTTACAAATTCACTAGTTAGCGAACGGAACAAAGACTTGTGACCAGAGACCGATAGGCTAGCTATTCTAACGCGACCTAGACCCAACTAACTAGAGTAAGAAGTCCAAGTTGGAAGCGGGGAAATATATTCCGTAGCAGCCAGAAGCACAGCAATCATAAAGGGAAAAAGTCAAGCGTATATATACAGCAACAAATTGTCCTTGGGCATCATTATAAAATAGCACACACAAAGAAACAATGGACCAATAGCGTTTAAGATAGTTTACAAGTGGGAAATATGACGTGAAAGCAAAAAGAGCGCTTTTGGCGTGAAAACAGCTAAATTCAAATTTTCAAAATAAAATTACAAAATTAAGCCACTTATCAAGTAAGTTCTGGGGATTTGACATCTCCAACAGACTAAAACTAAACACATACAATTGAGTTCTGACTCAATGAACTAGAGGTTAAGCTGTTAATATATGAGATTGAATGTCTTGTATTGGGTTTTCTGGTTCAGGGCTATGGATGTGCATTTCTGAGAAGTCCCATACTGGAACGAATAGGATATCCAATCCTTCCATGTCTTGAATGATGATATAGCTAAGATCAATTTATATATAAATATTTTTTTTCTTCTAGCCAACAATAAAGAAGGCGAAAATTCCAAAAGGTGTACAATCCATCACAAATTTCTTCAGTAAAAAGTAGTCAATATCTAATCTGTTCCATTTTGTAAAATTATTTTTTATATAATGTATATGTAACTATGTATGTATGTATATTCATCTGTTAATATGATCTCATGTTAGAAACAGAATTGTTTTCATTTGAAAGATGATCCTTTTGTAAGTGGATAGTGTCCGCGCAGAGTGGTACGGCGACAGTCAGTCAGTCAATTAGTCAGGTACAATGTAGGACCAGCCCCCCCCCAAATGCCCTGATACGGCCGAGAGTGGGGGGAGTCCGCTCTCCCTCTCGAAATGCTCTCACATGGCCAGCGAATATATAGCCTCTGCCAGGGAAGTTCTACTCACTGAATTCTCGTGGTGGGAGTGTTGTTTACAAAATTGAGAGGACAAAACACGAATGTCTGGCGCTTTAACCTAGTTGGTGAACACGGAGGGTCATGCTCGGGCAGTTGGAAAACCCTGATTTCAAACCAATGGTGGACATGGCCTGGCTGCACTATCCTGAGGTAACAAATGAACCAATTGTTGGTCACCGGCTACCATGGGACTGCGTCTCCTAACGTTGCTTCATTGCCTTGTGGATCAGACCTTTAGGCCAAAGGCTCTGGTTGTGGCCCCCTAAGGAAACCACCTGCTTCAGTTTGAGCACATGGACAGTTTCACAGACCTCACAAAAATGAAATAAGATTTGTGTGGCGCATATGTATTTGGTGCCTCTTTGTGCCAATATTCATATGTTTAAATAAATAAAAATGTAGAACCAGGCACATATATGCATCGGTCCAAGTTCTCATACCTCGTTAACACAACAAGATGAACATCGAATTCATAAATGTAGTTACTTCAATGATAATAATATATAAAAGAAAGATTGTGTATAAGGTTATAATACAGGAAGGGAGAATTAGTTGGTAGAGAGAAAGGTATAAAGTAGTTTTAATCTCACATTTTAAGGGAAGACGAAGAGTTTATACACCTACGCCATTATGATAGATCCTGAGCCATGTCACCCAGAGTCTCCAACCATTGGTTCCGATAGCTGCATGGACCCCAATCAAGTAGTCTGCATCTACCAACATGGTTAAAACTAGAAGTTAGTAACTTTAAGAACTGATGTCAAGTCTTGGTTTGGCTGCCGCAAACTTTCTTTCAACCATCTCCAATACTGGTCAGCATTGCGCATTGTGGTAATCGGTGTTAAGGCATACGTAACAACACATGGCCCAACCATATCAGTTGATGAAGCATTAAGAATAAGGTTCAAAACGACTGGGTGGAGAGTTACATATGAATGAAATACTATAGCTGATGATCTAATGAAGAATAAAGAGTGAATGGATCTATACCATCGTGAAAAATTCCGAGAAATATCACTTATGGAAATTAGTTCAGTTTCGATGTTTGTTTTTCTTTCCATGCACTGAGAATTGGGTGCCGCTGAACTCGTGACGCTTAGCTGTTCTAGGGATGCGTCTGTAACTACTGTTATCATAAAATGATCGTTTTATCATACTACTGATTGGTTGGATTCCAAACATTTTGTTTAACCAATATAAATTTGCCTGGTAATGTCTCAATCTACTGAGTCGCAGCATCTTCAAGACTGCGGTTGAGTAGCTGTGATAGATCAACAAATGCCTGTTCTTTTCAGCAAATTTTCTTACTAGGACTCACTGGGAGGCTATTTCGTTTTAACCTGAGACTCTTCAACAGTTTGCTTCCATAATCTCAGTATCCAGTATAGGACTTTCCAGGTCTCACGACGAGCCCTTCATGCCACTAAGTTGACATGTAGTGGTTTACATTTCCAATTTCATCAAGTTTGCGTTATCTCTCATTCATCTTCCAATGTCGTCGGTTTGTAACTACCTCACATCCAATATGCTTAACGTCTCCTGGTCACATCTTTCTTTTCTTGGTCTAGGATTTGTCATCTGTGATCACTGATTACTAAACAAAATAGGGCTCATACTCTTGATGTGTATGATATACTTGAACCGTTGGGACAGTCTAGTGTTTTATATTCTGAAATTTATAAATGGGCGAGACTATAATTTATGGGCGGGCCGATCAGAAGCGTTTGAGAGATATCAAGGTAAGAGCGCCAATTTCAGTACCTGATGCTCAGGTACAATCGGTTCACAGAGGATTCTAGAGAAGACTTGACAATTAAGCGGCTACAATAATTGAGATCGCTAAGAAGTTTCTTCATTTGAAATTACAGTGGTGAAATGATTTGTAGACCTTGTGCTGACTGCCGTGATATCTTTCAATGTAACATAATTTGAAGGAAGACGTTTGCTAGGATAGGGACCTTTTTCACTCGATCCAGATTGAGGCTGTGGCGTATTATAATAATTGCCGCGAACTGTGTAATAAAAGCACCAGTAACATTGGCTGCAATAATCACAGATGTTACTGAAGCTTCTGCTGTTCAATGGTATGAGTATTGTAGGGACATATCCATAATAAAAATCATAAATTTACACAACCGGAGTACACACAAACAATAATAAAGCTATGTGGTCTAGGCTGAGAGGGTTTCTATTACGTTATCATGGGTCCAAATATAAACTATTATGGAGCCATATGGATGAGTTCCTCTACCTTATGCATTACGATTTTGGAATCTCTGAATGTTTTTCTAACCTTGATAAGCTTTTGGACCATATAAAGGGGATGTATCCACTTTAATTCTTTCGTTTTGTATAATATATTTTTACTTTATGCCAACTGTTTACTGATTGACTAACATTTCTTAAGGCCACTTAAGATTCGTTCAAAGGTCGTCCATTAATTATAGTCTCGCCAGTCATATATTGGCACATTAATTTTAATTATAACATTTAACTACTTATAAACACTTATAAGTAGTCACGGTTTTTTAATTTCAAAGTTTGACTGAAATTTGTTTCGAACTACAATAATCCCTTGTAACACATGAGATTTTTCGTAGATATAATATTGTTAAGTAGTAGGGATTTTAATATAAGAACCTTTCTGAACAAAAATACTAAATTCACGTAGTATTGTTTGTTTGAATCTTCGCATTGATGTGTTTAAGACTGCAATTGATCAGTCTCTAATTGGCATATGTGCATACTGTGCGTATTGCCTCAATATAGCCTAAATTCACAGGCATGGTAAACAATGATGGATAGTGGCTAGCAATGGAAGCCAGTGTGACACGCGCTTCGTCCTATTTGGGACTCGTCAGGTGGATATACCTGCATCTTAAACTTGTTGATGTTCACTGTGGGACTGCAACCCAGTACTGTTCGCTTCAAACGCCATCTCGTTATCCACTCGACCAATGAATCCTCATAGTCACTTGCTTGTGCAATGGGGTGAAGTTTTAATTCACCTATTATTGTTTGTTTGAATCTTCCCATTGATATTCTTTATATCAAAAGCACTTGAAGTTGGAGATTTCTTCAGTCAGTATATCATACAGTTTTTGGTAATGGTTACATTGATAACATTAATATTTGCACATTTTCAACATCTGACTTAAGAATGATTATTTAAGAAAAAGTAAAAATAAACTTAAAACAGACGATCGAATAATCCTCGTCAACTTCTATTCGAAGTTTATACTGATGATGATGTTGTTCAGTAGAACAATATGAAAGCTTCACAACCAAACTATCCAATTCAATGAACATAATCTTCAATCATTCATTACATTTGATAAAAAAAGATCGAAATGAAGGGTACATTGAAAGAGGAAATCATCTTACAAACACATAAGATAGTATATTACATTACAAGTTTTTTGTTATGGACTCTTACAACAACAAAAACAATCCATCATCCTCATATACGGACACCTTTGTTAATCATATAAAAAATTCACTGTCATAGCAACACAGTGAATGGTAACTGGGGGGGGGGAAATAGAGATAAAACAACAACGACAACAACAACAATACTGTATAAAATTAAAAAAAAATGCAAAAAAAAACAAAAGAAAAAAAAAAGTATATTCTTCGAAAATCAAGTAATCAAAGGGGTTGTATATTATTATGAAAATGGTTATGAATTCTCTCCTTATTCATTTTGAATGGTTTGAATAAATTCAAAGAAAGAAAATTCAAATATCCAAACATAATGGAATGAAATTTCGAAAAAAAAAAAGATTTCCATCTTGAATGAATATGAAATGAAATGAAGAATATGTAGATATGTTTTTAATATAAAATTGAATTGAATGGTCAAAGTGTATTGTTTTTCCCTTTCAATTAGTACCATTGAGAGAGGATTCTATAAGTAAAATTATCAAAAAGAAACATTGATTATGATGGATAGTCAGTAGTATAACGAGAAATTTGTAATATAAGTATATTTTTATGGTTGAAATTATGAATTAATTGAAGCTAGACTACTATGGAAAACCTGGAAGCAGTGGACGACCGTTTCGGCCTATTGTGGGACTCCTCAATGGCAGTGCACATCCACGATCCCGCCTTGTGAGATTTGCAATCATGACCTACCAGTTCGCACCAGAACAGTTAACCTTTAGACCACTAAGCCGGTATCAAACGATGCTAATGTCCAACTTTAACCAATCCATGAAGTTTGAACAACCGTTCACCAGTTGTTTTCAGTGAGTTCCTATCTCACAACAGACGTGGTTTTGAACTCCACTGGTCACTCCTTCTCACTAGAACTCCTGGATGTACTTCTAGAAGTCAGTCACTAGTTAGTATATCATTATATTCATTATCAGAAGGGGTTCTGTGGAGATTTAGTATTTTCATATTTGAAAGCGTGAGTCAATTGAAGCTAGACCACCATGGAAAACCTGGAAGCACTGGATGGCTGTTTCGTCTTATTATGCGACTCCTCAGTGGCAGTGCACATCCACGATCCCGCACTCGCGAGATTCGAACCCAGAAACTATCAGTCTCTCGCGCTAGTGTTAAATCAATAGACCACTGAGCCGGTCGGCATCCAACGATGTTAATGTCTAACTTCAACTAATCCACGAAGTTTGAGCAACCATTTCACTAATTGTTT